AGGAAGATGGCGGCGCCGATGCAGATCAGCTGAAAGATGGCGCCGAAGAAGAGGCCGTAGCGGACCACTTCCTCCACCACCATCGACCAGTCCACTTCAAACATCTTCTTGATGTTGGCTTCGGTGTATTCTTCTTGGATGGGACTAGACAGAAGAGCTGCTGGAACACTTTTCAAAACAAAAACAGCAGCAGCAGAAGCAGTCAGTCAGCGGTGGGCCTGTCAGCCTGGCCTGAAAACCAGAAATATCGTGGAGTGCTCGCAGAGTACGTGACGCAGATTTTGCGTCACCCGGAGCGGTTGGTGACTTTGTGAACTTTGTGAACTACAGCTTCACCGGATTTTCCGAGAGAATGCGACACTGGCGACCAGACTGTACCGTCTTCTGCGAACATCTCTCGATAATTCTGATTTTCTGGCCAGTCTGGCAGGCCTACCATTGAAAACTGCCGGTAAACAACTCGGTACCCGAGTTTTCAAGCCTGTTTTCAAGCTGAAAACCCTACTTACAGTGGTAATAAAACAGGCCTACACCCCATTATACTGATTTAGAACAGACTTGAAACAAAACAACAGTTTAATTACACTTATGTGGGGATCATCGGGAAGGTAAACATCATCACAATCGGTCAAAATGCAACAGTGGTAAGATACAGAATAAAGAATATGAAGATAGTAAAAACAAACTAAGATCGGCGCTGTCGTTTGCGCTTGCACACCTTCTTCCTCCGGTGCTTCCTCTTTGACGGTGGTGCTGGCGGCGGCGGCGGTGTTGATGGACTTGTATTCTCCTCCTCTTGTTCATCCTCTTCATCCACCGCTTCCACCTCCACCTCTTCTTCTTCTTCNCTCCTCCTCTTGTTCATCCTCTTCATCTACCGCTTCCACCTCCACTTCTTTTTCCTCCTCTACTTCGGCTGGCTCTGAATCATTTTCCGAGGATGATGATGATGGTAATCGTCGCCTGGCCTTCTTCCTCTTCTTTCGCTTTTTGCTGCTGCTGTCACTGCCTCGACTGTGTTTGTAGCTCTTGTTGTGGCGGCTGCTCTTCTTGAAGAAGACCGCCTCGGTCTCTTCTTGCTCGCTGTTTGAACCACTGGCGGGTGTTGAGGGACCAGGCAGCGAGTAAGTAGGCGGAGAGGAGGCGGAAGAAGATGAAGAAGAAAAGGCTTCAACTTCAGCCTCATCACCTTCATCATCAGCTTCAGCTTCACCATCATCCGCATTATCACTATCCTCCTCATTATCACCCTCACTTTCAGCATTTTCCTCGTTTGACGAGGAGGAGGATGAGGAGGCATCAGCGGGTGAAGTATCAGGATTCGAAGGGGAAGAGACCTGCTCTTCGGCATTGGATTCGGCACCGGATTCAGCATTGGATTCCTCCTCAGATTCCGCCTCGGCTTCTGATCCCGAGTTTGATGAAGGATCCTCTTCCTCCTCGCTGGAGGCAGAAGAAGCAGCCTCGGATGATGATGACGAAGAGG